CACTTGGTACATTCTCAAACGCCCAGTGTCTGACGCTGGGCATCATGACAACTACTATGGCAGACGACTTCGGACTAGGTGCATTCTATTAAGTCGCCCTGACAACAAGACCAAGTTGCGATAACGAGGTCAACCCACTTCTATAAATCGAAAGGAGACTGTGACCATACCAGAGGCCACAACATCTTGGTCTTCCTATCTTATATGAATAGAGCCTATTTTTCCCTTCTATTTGACATAGTCTTGCTTCCCAAAAGGTACCTCCATCCAGGCTGAACTGGACTCATCGGCACCCATTAGCGGGAGTCGAACCATTACAGTGCCGAGTATACTCTCCACACGTTAGCAACTACACCACATTACCACAAGTGCCCTAGCTTCACAGGGAAGGTGTGAATTTTTACCAGTCCTTCGTCACTTTAAACGAAATAGGGTCAACACACCTCGTATATCTGATCTACGGGTGGCCTCGAAATCCTGCTTACAAATGAAAAATAGAATGAGCCTTGGCTACCAGATAAGCTTAAAGAGAGTGATGAGGTAAAAAGGGCGGCTCATCTGACCTAGGTCAGGGTTTTGCTTTCAAGTTCACTAGGCCAGCAGGTAATAATATACTGCAGGCATGGCAGCACACACTCTAAGCTAAACACAGACCATGTTGCCATTTTCAATAGGGCATATTTTCTGGCTTGCGTAATTATGTCAACCCCAGACACTACATGCCTCGACAACTCTATTTACTATGCCGCTTGGCCATAAGAGACTGTGGAATAGCCTCAGAATTAGGCCAGTGACCAAACCTTTATAATGACCATTTGTGTGAGAATTTGAAATCATCTAATTAAATCAGATAATGCTTATTAATGACAAGTTATTTCGTATGAAAAATTTGGCAAAAGTGGTTTGTCACTCGGCCCTCCTGGCAACCGAATAAAGCTTATCTTGCTGTTGCGGCTGTTGAGCTAGGCTTAGAAACCCACGAAGCACCGACCTCCGACCTCGACTCAGATCCATCCATATGGAGCTGCTGTCTCTCTCGCCTTGATAGACATAGTTGAAGAGAGAAGTGTCCCCAGAATGTTCTTCAGACAAGCCGCATGCTAGAATAGCATAATTAAATTGAAGCTTTCTATGCCAAATCATGGCCAGTTAGGAAGCAAGGGTCGAACTGTGCTTACGGAATTCCCAATGTTGTGCAAGTCTTTGATACCAGTAGTTTTCATAGAGGTTTATCCAAAATTTTAACAAGTGAGGCCTTCATAACAATCCATCCATGGAGGGAAGATGTTGTCCCAAGAATAGTGGCCCTTGTATGCCGAAGTATTCGATCAAGCGTCCGACAGACAAAAAAGGATTCTATTCATGCAGTTCGATGAGACGGGCTGACAAACCTCTTCAGTATGGGTTTTCACACGGGATGAAAATGAAAATCCAAATTAGTATTTCATATAATTTATAGGGTATACAACAGTACCAAGAGCGCATACAATCTATACATTTTTTTAAACTCTTAACTTTCAGTTAAGCTTATCATTTGTTCAATATTTGCTAATTCCTACTAGTTTGGCGCAATTTTATAGTTCTCTTCTCTTCTTAATTACGTAGTTAGCTCCAGCGATAATTCTTTTTCACGTGGACATCATACAGGATTCTTTAGAGAGTGGTTTTTGTTGCTATATTGAAAATAAATAAAACATTTAGATGTACCTAATCCTAATATCACTACTCTCAGCAAGTACTGATTCTGATGTGTGTTACGCAAAGTGTAATTATATCAAATTCAGATACAGGATTATTTCAAAGTATTAGTTACCTAAAGGTAGTTGTAACTGCTAGATGCAACTAAAATATTTGTTAATTTCTACCCCCTTAATAGTTATACTCTGTTGCTAGTTTAACTATAACTAACGACAAAACTAAATGGTATGACCTATGAACATCAGATAATCAGAAGTTGTTTGACCTTGTTTTCGCAACGTGCTCATATTGGCAGTAAGACCTAGAGAAACACACTTCGTCAGGAGTCCATAAAATGCATGATAATATCCAGAGTCGAACCGTGGACGCTCTACATTCACAGACGTTTCGCTGGCATCGTAGTCGACATTGTCAGTGAGCCTTGGCATTGTTGGCACTACACCACAACTCGTCAAGGAGACAAGAGAAGTGGATCTTTCGTCAAATTGTCTGCTAAACAGTTGTGGTCCCTCACCTTCTGTCCCGGGCTATTCACCCCTTAAACATCACAGTTTATTACTTGTTTATCTAAAACCTAGTTGAAAGCTATTCACACTCCCCGCTGGTTTCCACATCCCTCCCACTTTGATGGTAGTGTTGATCCAAGGCTACGGTTCAATTCGCAATCCTGTCACTTAGGGTCCTATCAGAGTCCCCCATATGCTCCGTAGGGTCCTTCCCCTATCTCCGTGCTACTCTGGGCGCTATGTTCTACATTGCCTCAAACCGTTGATAGCATGTATCTTCCAGCCTTACTGAGCCAGCCTCTAAAGTCTGGATTCGCAATTGGCATGACAATCTAACTTGACAATGCAGACTCCCCCATCACTGATTCACATGTGAACCAAGTAAAACTCGTAGCCAAGCCTTTACTTCATGGACCACGTCTATGAGCAAACTTATCTACTAATAGCTAACTAAAAATGGTCACCACCCTTTCTCAAGCTCTTCTCTACCTAATTCTAAGTCTATGACTTTCTTATGCCAAAGTCGCTTGCTTGCCAACCCTTAAATGTGATAGTTCTACTTGATTTGAATAGGCTCACTGTGGACGTCACTGTCTATGTAACCTTAGAGACCTTCGCTGTTGAAATATCTCTAATAGCCATTCCAAGATAGAATCAAGCATAAAAAATATTATACTTTATTCACAGGTGCCAAGTATCTAGGTCACCATGAGTTTCGGCACATCTTCTCGGGCACCTGGAAAAAGAATTTAACTCTCCTTATTCGCTTTATAAACAGGTTTTTATGGTTATCCTTTGGAGATTATGCGTTGTATTGTCATAGTTCGAGTTCCTCTGAGGGTACT